CCATTATGCCTAATTTGTTATCTGTGAAAGGTTTAAAGAAGACTAAAGGTCATGTGTAGAAACTTCACACACATATTTTGCCATTGCTACACAAACTGCGGGAAAAAAAATGATCTAACAATACCTGAGCCTGACATCATATTAACACAAGAGACTCAAATTTTGGACGAGAAAAGGACGGGCAGCACCACCAGCCGCAGCAACCCGCGAGCTGGCGCGCGCGGGTTGGGTGAGCTGCCCTTTTCCGGCTAGGCTAGCCGAGAGCCCAAGATATCACAGGTGTGCTGTGCGCAGGTGTGCTGCTCGGACCAGCTCCACCGCTCGCCTACTCGGGCGGCCAATTCATACCCGAGAAGCCCGGGATTTCGTCTCCTACACACGCAAACATGTCTGCTCTCGTGAAAACGATGGATGATGGTATACGTGCATGCAGCTCGCTAAGGGTTATTTGTCTTGCTCATCCAGATTTATTTCCGAGTTTTACACAGTGTGTTGTACTCCCTCCGTCACGGTTTAGAAGGCACAGTTAAATTTACGTGCGTTTCCAAAATAGACAAGATTTAAGGCGCCAATGCAATTACTTCTACTAGTACTGTACTAGCAAACCCTGCGCGGCGGCACACCGCACCCGTTAATAGGGGGTAATGTAAGTATTGGAATATTGTGCGTGTACACTTTTTTCATCAGATGGCAACTAAAGGGAAACAACTGCATTGTAATCATCCCACAAGGCATTTTAAGAGAAAAGGTTTGCATTCATAACTATATTACAGATGGCATACAACTTAGATGGAAAGAAAACAATATTACATTCCGGAGAAGATTCTCTTATTGTAACTGAACATGGTATACTAAAAGGTAACTAACATGATGGGGACTTGCACAGTGGAAAGACACACAAGATACCAGAGAAGTTCAAACGGGAGTAGAGACGTGATCGGAGCTTGAAATCAAATCATCCTGATATACCCCCCCTGTGGGGTTAGGACCAATATTGAAATGATAGAGCACCTTTGCAAAGTGTTCTAGCCGTTCCATAGGTGGGCAGCTACCTGTGTAACTGATGATACAGACTTCATTCAATGGGCGCAGTGGATGCATACGAAGGGGCACCACATCAAAAAAATCGTTGCATATGCGCGCCAGTATTTCTGCCTGTCTTAAACACTCAGCTTCCTAATATGATCATGACACTGTACTACTGTTTTGGCACCTGAAATCACAAAGCTCAATCACATATGCCCCGTTCCAAGTAGACAAAACACCCAAAACCGTGAACTCCTCCTACTTATATCATCATCAAAGAGCTTGCACACTCCACATAAATATTAGCTGCATGTTTTCGTAACTGGTGCTATTATAGCTCCCAGCATACTTTTTAAATATAGGGCGTCCTTGTATCAGCACATATCAATTACTTCCTACAAGGAATGATCTTGGTAACTGGCAGTATTAGGACAAAATAGTGCTAATAGTGCAATTAAACTGCTTCTGATGATTAACGTGGAAGTTTCTGCTGATTGTTTATATATAATTATATGTGCAAATAGTCTGTTCATGCTATGAATCTACATAGGTGATCTCAAAGCTTGGAAACATGAATTTTGACAGCAAGGTCTACTATGTGTGAACTTGTGGTATAATAATAACACTTACACTGCAGGTACTGAAATAACAAAATGTACACTTACATTTGCAGGTACTGAAATAACAGAATTTACATAAAAGTGTGCATTGACATCATAGAGCAGAATATAATTCCTAAACAGTAGTAGTATGTATCAGATGGGGAGTGGATAGTAGGGAGGGGATGGATAAAGCTGTGCACTGACATCAAGTTCTCAGTTTTTATTTACTGTTATTTGTCATGGAGTGCTTCATCATTGCGAGTTTTATGTATGTAATCGTCAACTCGCTGATTGTTGATATATAGCAAGATAATACATCTGCAGTATACTTCATCAAGATCATGGCAAGTTTATATGCCAAGTAATCTTCGCGTATGGGTCTGATTCCTCTTCATTATCGGAGCTTAATTAGTAGGCCTTGTTTGGTGGAAACAAATGTTTCCTTCCACATCACTTTTGCGTAGCAAACTATGCAAAATAAGCTCATTTTCCTAATGATGGGCCCTGAGGGGTTATGTTAACAACTTCCTAGCTAGGGATTAAACTATTTGGCATCTAAGTGATGATGTTACTAAATCCTAAACCAAGTACATGTCATCATCATCATCGCAAATACAAAAAAAGAATCGCATAGCATCTTCAAAATTTTACTCGTCAGTTTAATAATTTTCTTGTATCAAATATGTAGTACCATGCAAAATCGCTTCTAGCACACATGCATTAACAGATTCACACGTACATGGTATAATTCATTCACATAGATGCAAGAACAGAAGGAAAGTTGTAAAGGAAAAGGGACAGATCAGTGATGCAAACTCCTGCACCAGCCGCGAGCGTTGTGCCAGGATGCGAGCAGCTCGCGTGCCTCCCTCAAGTCATCGCGCGCCATCCCTTCATGAATCGTTGAGAGCCTCCTCCTCCGTCGTTTCGGGGTAGAAGATCGGAGATAGCACCACCGCGCCTCGTGCCCTCATCCGCGTGCTGCTGTGACCTGGCTGTCCTCGCGCCCTCGCCTAACCAAGGAAGGAAATGGCTCCGTCACCGCTACATGGAGAAGGGCGAAGAGCGAGGTCGCATGCGTGGCGTGGGAATTAAGAAAGCAGAACAATATTTCGCCAAGCTAATGATTTCCATCGAGCAGCTGCAACTGCTCATCCGCAGCAGCCGAACTCGCCCGACCACAGCCAGCTCCTGCTCCACTCGGTCCCGTGCCGCTTAGCCGCGCTCAAGACCAACCGCTTCCTCTCCGTCTCGACGACGCAGAACCAGCAGCCCAATCCTCGCTGGCACCAAGGGGCACCACGGCATGCACACGCACCAGGACGCCAGGAAGACCCGCCCTCGCCGCCAACGCGTCATGCACGCTAGATGTCGGAGCAGAAGGAGTTGCGCACAAGATCCGAAAGCACTCCCGTCACTTCCTGGCGCGAGCTGCGGAGCGCATGGCAGTGACGCCGTTGTGTCTCCTCCTTGCTCATCGCCGGTGGCGAGACGTCCTTGAAGCTTGGGCTGCCCACAGCCTGGTGCACTTCCGCCACAGTCCCTCACCCTCGCGCACACCCGCCTCCTCATTCATCTTCCTCCATGCACCTCCTCCTTCACAGGCGGACGCCTGCGAGGCGGTAAACGGAGTGAAAGCGAGAGACGATAGCCACGGAGAAGAGAAAGGAGAGCTTTTTATAGATGCATATGGCGGTGGAGGATTCGACCACGATCATCGAGAGCGGAGCATCGAGAAGAAGAGATAAGGAAGACGAAGGTAACAGTGGTAAGATGAACAAATCAAATAGTACAATTAACATCTAACCCGCATGAGACGGCATGTCCGCAATCTTTAACCAGATGAAGCACGTGACCGCCGGCCATGCAGGGATCCATCCAAAGAAGAACCGCCAAACAAACGTAGCCAATCACATGGGACAAAGAGTAACGCGGCGGCAGCAGCAAGGGACAACGCATGTCGGCCCATGCATATGCAGCCGCTCGCGAATCGCCTGATCACCGTTGCCGGCAGTTCCGATTGGTCGTCCACTCAGACACGCGGCATGTCCACACTCGACCACATGCATGCACCGCTGAAAGGACTACGTACTTCTCTCGCCTCGTACTTACACGCAGACGCACACCCCCGACATACGTGCTTCTCATGCCATGCAAACACCCACATAGACTTTTTCTGCCACATATACCCAAGGCATTGCATGCTAGAGCGGTACATACAAAAGGAAGGAAGATAGAAAAACCCCATGCTCAAACAGCCTACACGCTAGAACGGCGGTCAAAAAGACCCAAAAGAAAACCAAACGCTAGAGCTACACGATGACTACACAGCGATGAAGCAATGGAGTTCAAAAAATTTGAATCAAAAACTTACAGCCACATACTGGTTTCTACCCCACCATATCCCAAAGTAATACACGTGTCAAGGAAGGAAATGCCCACAAGTTGCTTTCAACCAAGTGGTTAAACGTCAGGGCGAAAACTTTGCCTGGAATAGAGGCTTGGGTATGCATGCAACCGTGTGAATTCCAAGCT